CTCCAGTGGAATCTCCACTGTCATGTGTACTTGCAGTGGCACCAGAGACTTCTCCTGTCACTCTTCCTGCGGGTACTGCACCAGCGGGCTGCTGAATGGCGAAAGGTTCTATAAAGATTTACAAAATGACTTAAATGAAATGAATCATCAAAGGGGCCTAATGGTCCAAATGGGTTCCAGTGGATATTATACACTTACTGGTCCCAACAGTAATGGATAGTTTCGTTTTACCGAGAATCTTGATGTTCCCTGAAACAAAGTCAAGGGAAACATCGAGCCCCATTATTCCAGTCAACAACAGGCCATAAAACCCTGTATGAGGGGTTCTTTAAATAAGAAACTGACTGACTCAGAGCTTCTGTTCAGGCCACTTTAAAGTGGATGCAATAAAGAGGCGGCCGTATTAACGGGGTGGCTGTGAGACAGGGTTCCATTCTAAAATCGCAAAAATCTATGCTAATTTAATTAAGTCAAACACCATCTGGTCATGATTTCCTTGTTCAAACTTAATGAATTATTAATCACTAAGTAGACAAGTATGAAAACTTAACATGCGATTTAGGTTAGGTAACTATTGAGGGACCAGGATGGAGTCAGGGGAGGGGGGGATGCATGAAGAGCCCCTTGGCTAAATTACCCATCTTACAAAAGGGAGAAAGGCTAAGTTTAATAGGGTAATTATTATTGACTACAAGTGAATGACTGCATTTTTGAAACATACATTTAGATTACTATTTATAGCACTGCCCATTTAAAGTAGCCATTTCCTCTTTAAAGGAATTACTTTGTGCTGGCAACAGAGTAATCTTTGGTGAAACACATCAGTGTGACTCAGACAGGGAAACCTTTGAAAGGCTTTGAAATCTTGGGACATCTTGAGAAATATTTGAGTTATCTTCAAAAATCCTGGCACTCACAAGTTAACAATCTCATGCCCGTGAGACTAGGTATATTACACTGCAAGTCAGTGACTTCTTGACTTGAACTACTAAATTTTCATGCAACTG